CCATGATTTTTGTCTTTTGTGCATTTCAAGAGTAGTGCAGCGAGGCCCCAAGAAAAGTGCGAGTGCTAGCGACAACGACTGCGTTGATTTTTTTTTTTTTTTTTTTTTTTAAGTGACTGCGTTGATTGGCGAGGCCCCAAGAAAAGTGTGAGTGCTAGCGACAACCACTGCGTTGATTGGCGAGGCTTGGACCCCACTGGCCGGCGGCGTGGAAAAGTTTTGGCGAGGAAGCGTTTTTCAGACCCCACAGGTGTTGGAAACCGTTGTGGAAAGTCGGCCTGGAAAGGAATTTCAGACCCCACCGTGGTTGGAAAGAGGTCGTGGAAAAGCTGACGGGGCGTTTCTACTCGGCTCGCGGTCTGGAAATGCAATGCCGACGAGTTTTCAGGCCGTTTCCAAGGACGCCTCCAGACGAGTAGGGGGGGGAGCATCTCAAACAGTTTCCAGAAAACGGCTGGACGGCACGAACCACGGACCGTCGTCGTGGACCATTTTCTGGACCAGTACGCTGGTGATAGAAGGGCCTGGACCACATCCCCGGGCCTACTTGCCTTTTAGGGAAACACCCCGGGGGGATTTCCTAATCGGGCATGTCGAAGAGTTTCCAGTGCCGAAAGTCGAGGGCTGCGGTGGGGTCCCAACAAAACGCGGCAACTTCTTTCCAATCACGGTCGGCCGTTTTTTGTGGCCAACAGCACTTTCCAGCCGGAAACCAGTGGGGTCCAAGCCTTAGACCACGCCAAGCGTGGTGGCACAGCCAGGGACCTTCGTTTATTCATGTGGAGCCCGGATTCGGGTATAGATTGGTTTGTTTGCTATGCCCGGAAGGGGGGTTGAGGCTCTTAGGGTCCAGGCATGTGGGTGTTTTTTTTTGTGGGTGTTCATTTTGCTTGAGGGACATTTGTTTTTCCTACACTAATGTCGAGCCTAAGAAATGTTGTGCCTGCTGCTTCTATGTTCTACCGGAAGATTCATTTTCGTTTTGTTTTTCTTGCCAGGAGAATGACAACAGGACAAGACTTGATGTATTGTATGCATGAGAAGGAATTTGCGGTGCAAATGGTGAAGTAAGTCTGCGGACAAAGACTAAGAAGAGGGAAGATCGAGCCCTTCTAAAAGGAGGACTTCTTCTCTTCGTAGTTGGTGTTTTGGCATGCACTTCAGGGGTGTGGGGGAGGGGGGGCTCTGCTTCCTCTCCACCACACCCCCAGGTGCCTGATGTTGAACTACGAGATGCTGAAGTCGAATCATTTGTTGCCAAGTTTGAATGATCCAGGAAAGCTTGTGCGCAGTGCAACGCCTCTAGCTCCGGGTGTACTCGCGGTTTAACGGCTCCGTCTGAGACAAATGGCTGGGCGAAGTACTGGTAGTTTGAGTGTCAGGGGGAAGTGTGAGCAGGCTCTCAGTCGGACCCCAGTTTGCATCCCACTGTTATGTTCAACTGTGGGGGTTCACTTTTGAAGTACAGAATATACAGTCAGGCATTTGCAGTGTTTCGAGTCCTGCCATAATTGCGGTAAGATGCGCTCAGGAAAGTGTCAGTGTGAATATGCCCTCAGTCAGACCCGAGTTTGCATCCATCTGCCCTGTTCAGCTGTGGGGAACCCTCCTCCCATTCCATGTTATGTCAGTGGAAGTTGAGGGCGTAGTCACTGAAGCACTTTGTCTGCCAACTATGAGTATTCCCCAAACCCGAGTTCGAATCAAACCCGTTGTTCTGCCAATTTGTGCAGGTCATTGCCAATCATTTTTCATAGAGTCCAGAACTGTGGTCAGGCATACTTTGGAAGTACTACCATCTTCACCCGAATAGAACACCCAATCATTATCACTGTATGTGGACTGAAAGTTGCCCCAAATACTGACAGGGGTTCTATTTTGGTGAAGATGGTAGTATGACTATGCCCTCAGTCCGTACACCCATGAACTGTTAAAATGTTGTCCTGCTCTAGTCCGAATGAGGAGACTAAGGGCATACTCATACTACGACTTTTTCGACTAAGCTTTGGACGTCATTAGAGTCAGATGCATTGCAGTCAGATGCATGTAGGTTGCTCGTAATTGCGGTCAGATGCATTTAGCAAAATGCTAGCTTGAGCATGTCCTAAGTAAACAACGACAAGAAGCCAAATTCCAACTCTAAGAAGTAAGAGCATACTTAGGCCATGCTCACACTAGTAGCGCCTTCCTCAATATATGTGAACTGTAATTATAGAAAAGTAAATGTACGAATGTACTTTATCGTAATCACGTTCAGAGCTCAGTCGAAAAAATTCGAGTCTGAGCATGCCCTGACACCAGCACTTGTTGGACTAAAACGGACTTCAATTGCATGAAAGTAACCTTATGATCATCTATTCAAACTACCTGAAAATCTTGAAACATCCTAAAGTGACGAACGGCTAGAAGACCATGAAAGCGACCCTTATGACCATCTGTTTAAGTTACATGAAAATTATGAAACATCCTGAAGTTTCATGATTTTCAGGTAGCTTCAACAGATGGTCATAAGGGTTGTTTTCATGGTCTTCGGGACATTCATCACTTCACGATGTTTCATGATTTTCAAGTAGCTTAAACAGATGGTCGTATGAGTTGCTTTCATGATCTTCGGGACGTTCATCATTTCAGNGTTTCATGATTTTCAAATAGCTTGAACAAATGATCATAGGGGTTGTTTTCATAATCTTCGAGAAATTCATCACTTCACGATGTTTCATGATTTTCGGGTCGCTTTAACAGATGGTCATAAGGGTTTATTTCATGGTCTTCCGGAGGTTCATCACTTCGAGACACTTCATGATTTTCAGGTAGCTTGAATAGATGGTCATAAGGGTTGCTTTCATGATTTTCAGGGCGTTCATCACGTCGGGATGCTTCATGATTTAAAAGTAGCTTGAACAGATGGCCATAAGGGTTACTTTCATGATCTTCGGGGCGTTTAACACTTCGGAATGCTTCATGATTTTCGGGTAGCTCTAACAGATGGTCATAAAGGTTGCTTTCATGATCTACGAGATGTTCATCACTTCGGGATGCTTCATGATTTTCTGGTAGCTTGAACAGACGACCACTATAATTGTTTTCATGGTCCTCAAAACATTCATCACTTCGGGATTCTTCATGATTTTCGGTAGTTTGAACAGATGATCATAAGAATTTTTTTCATGGTCTTCGGGATGTTCATCATTTCGGGATGCTTCATGGTTTTCGAGAAGCTTGAACAAATGTTCATAATGGTTGCTTTCATGGTCTTCAGAACGTTCATCTCTTCGGGATGCTTCATGATTTTTTGGTAGCTTGAATAAAAGGTTATAAGGGTTGTTTTCATGATCTTTTAGACGTTTATCACTTCAAGATGCTTCATGATTTTCGGGTAGCGTGAACAGATGGTCATAAGGGTTGCTTTCATGATTTTCGGGACGTTCATCACTTCAAAATGTTTCATGATTTTCGGGTAGCTTGAACAAACATCCCGAAGTGTTGAACGTCCTGAGGACAATTAAAACAGTACTTATGGTCATCTGTTCAAGCTACCCGAAAATCATGAAGCATCCCGAAGTGATGAACGCCTCGAAGATCATGAAAACAACCATTATGGTCATCTGTTCAAGCCATCCGGAAATCATGAAGCATTCTGAAGCGATGAACGTCCCGAAGACTATGAAAGCAACCCTTATGGTCATCTGTTCAAGCTACCCGAAAATCATGAAGCATCCCGAAGTGTAAACGTCCCGAGGATCATGAAAATAATATTTATGGTCATCTGTTCAAGCTACCCGGAAATCATGAAGTATTTCGAAGTGATGAACGTCCCGAGGACCATAAAAACAACCCTTATGACCATCTGTTCAAACTACCCGAAAATCATGAAGCATTCCAAAGTGACGAGTGTCCCAACGACCGTGAAAGCAACCCTCATGGTTATCTATTCAAGCGACCCGAAAATTATGAAGCATCATAAAGTGATGAACGTTCCGAAGACAATGAAAATAACATTTATGGTCATCTGTTAAAGCTACCTGAAAATTACATGAAGCATCCTGAAGTTATGAACGTCCCGAAGAACATGAATGCAACCCTTATGGTTATCTATTGAAGCTGTCAGAAAATCATGAAACGTCCTAAAGTGATGAACGTCCCGAAGACCATGTAAGCAACCCTTATAGCCATTTGTTCGAGCTACCAAAAAATGATGAAATGTCCTGAAGT